CGCCTCTGAAATCCGTCTCCTTGCCATCCTTACTTAAAATGATTTTGCATTCAGAAATTCGGGACTTAAATACGGATTTGATGGACGTGAAGAAGGGAGCAAGTTGCACGTGGGGAAAAAACGCGCCTGATTTAAATGTCACACCTGAACGCTCACATCCTTTTAATTATGTTTGAAATTATGAACATTGCTCAACATCATGAAAATTAAACCTTATTTTCAATAAGCAATCCTGAAAAATATTTGGGGGTGCTTAACTTTTTTCCAGGTGTATATATTAAGATTTGTCAGGGTTTTAATATAAATGGGCTGGGATTATTCTACAATAGGTGTCTGGGACTAGTTGGCAATAAGTTTGAACAATAAACGAAGAACACGTAATCCACTTGTTTTAAAATAATATATTCAAGATAAGTCAAACTTGTGTCCAAAAATCCGTTTCGCTATTGGTTATCAAAGTTGTATCTAAAGCTTTAAATAATTCTATTTTTTCTTCTGTCATCACAATATAATTAGTAATAAGCTCACTTACGTTACCCCGTAGGTTACCACCCGGAGACAATTATTTAAAGCTTGGATACGACTGTGGTAACCCAAGGGGTAAGTTAAGTGAATTTATCACTGATTATATAATGATAAAAGAGGAGAGAAGAAATAATTCGTCTTGTCAGTTGGGTTCTAAAGTAATTGAACCAGCCTGTGTGGACTTTTGACGTAAAAAGAGAATTATTTAAAGCTCGTTTTACAACTTATCGTAAAAGTCCACACTGGCGGGTTCACTTACTTTAGAACACCCTTTGACAAGATATTCTCCTTTATCTCTGTTATTACAATACCACTGTGACACTCACTTTAAATATTGCCCGTCACGGCTAAACTAATAATCACGCAGTCTAACTTCACTTTCACTAACATAACGTTTTCAGACTTGACTCAACTTGCGCTCACTTGGGCGCCTGTATGTATGTATATATATATATATATATATATTCCCCAACTGAGGCTTAGAACTTTCTACAAACTAAGAGACGCTATGATGTAACAATACTCAGGCAATGAGCAAAATACTGAAGGTTCGAGTAACGTGACATCAATCCACAACAATTAAACTACACGCACAACACACGACTCGTACCGAGTTACGTGACGAAATTTGTCATAACTATTGCTTTTAAAATAATTAACTTTAACACTCTTGTTATGAAAACTAAATAATCATTAAATCACTAAACAAACTAAATAATAACTCTTATACTAAACAGTCTTGTATATCCAACAAGATTCAACTACGATTTTCCATTAATTTGAGGAAAGAGATAATACATACAATAATGAGATGATTGATAAAAATCACAATCGAAGAGAATATGTATGAGGAAGGGAGAGGAGGGTTCTTCTGTTCTAGGTCAGGCTTTAGATCCTTTCGTTCGGTTCTGGGAGGGTTAGGTACTTTCGAAGACCTCTTCCTCCCTCTAGCACAGTGTTATAACGCGCAAAGTACACCATGGTGACTGCTAAATACTAGACGAATTATATGTGAGGGTTGTGCACCTATTACTGTCTTTAGTTTCAACAACCCTTTACATAGCCATGTCCATTACCACGTATAGTATTTTATGTCATAATATACTTTTCTTAACTTGGTGTGTTTAGTCATACACATGACAAACATTTCCATATATCGCGACACATTCATCTTCTAATTTATGACAAGAGCATTAGACACAAATACCCAAACTAATACTTTTATTACAAATTAGTTAAATGATATATTTAGTTAAAAGTCTAGCACTAGGTGACCTGTTATTCTGAAAGTATGTGTTAACTAGGAAGAGGTACTTAGGTATATTTTCATCGTGCATGATAAAGCGATACTGTGACGTCAGTAGCTTATTCTTATTCAAATTTTTTGAAAAGTAATTATTTGAGCACTGTAATAACCTGTCATTTATAGTCCCTATATTTGCGTATTTGTGTAGGAACTATGAGTTTGTGGTTCTTGGTACTTTATATGCTGCAGCGAGTATCGAGTGTTGTATTGTTTGTAATTTTTTTTTATATTATTATGTTTGGTGAGATATTTATCCATACTGTACTGGCATATTCGATTATATTATTGGTCGTATTAATTGTTTGTATAGTTTAATAATGTTCTGTGGTGAGGTACATGAGTTGATACCTGACTGACTCTTGACTTTGTTTGCGCGGCTCCACATTCTAGTTTGAATCTGGTTAATATGAGTTTTCCAATTTAATTTAGTCATATGTAAAACCTAGGAATTTAGCTGACGTGGCAGTTTGGAGGAGTATCATGTCGGTTTGGAAATTTGTTTCAAGTAGACTCTTGTTCATAAAAATAGTTCTCTTCAGACTGTTTCCAATAATATTGAGGCAGTATTTCAGAGGTTTACGAAATATGGTAATTGTTCATACGTATTTCTCCACAATCATGGACAGGTATTTACAACAGCGAAATTTGCAGAAAATATACCTGGACTGCTTACTGAAAGGTGCAAGGTTCGAGCAGCTGAGCACGCTCCACACTTTCAGCTAGCTAGTTAAGAGCAGCCCATGCATACACAGTGGGCGCTGCCCTCCCTCTGATCGGCACTTCTAATTTAAGGATGGCTATGCCTGAACCTCAGAGGTCTTTGGCCTCGTTGTTTAGCCCATGTGATGCCATAAAATATGAATTCCAGAAATGTTACAAACTTCTAGTTAAACAAGAAAAAGAAATATGATAAAGTAATGGGTTAGAGTAGAATTTGAAAATATAGTATTGCTTCTATTGCAGTACCATATAATTATATTTATCACACGACGTGGTTATAATGGAACATTACTGCTTTATTTTTTTCGTATTCTTTTTTCAATTAACAGCTCATTTTATATCACTATTTTAGGCGAATCTTCAAAGATACGCGTGGCAGTTGGTGTCAGGTTTCATCTAAAATATGAAGGTTGAAAAGTATTGAAAATATAAAACAACAACAATAAATCATCAGTACAAACAATCTTGTAAAGTGAGATTTTTAGCCTACCCTCTTACTTGTAATAGGTGTGACACATTACATCACAATAAGACCTAGCCAATCATACAACAATAAATCATCAGTACAAACAATCTTGTAAAGTGAGATTTTTAGCCTACCCTCTTACTTGTAATAGGTGTGACACATTACATCACAATAAGACCTAGCCAATCATACAACAATAAAAGTTAGGTATACCACCAACAAGTAGAACATTTTAAAAGGATCACCAAGGTCTAAGCAATATCAATATCTGGTAAGCATATCCATAATATCAGTGCAAACGTTTACTACGAAATGTGATGAATTATAGCAAATGGCAATTGAACGAATGTTTATAATAGGCTATCTACCTTATGCCCACTACAGAGATTTAACCCAAAAATTTCAGTGTCATAACATAAACCCTCAAGTCTACCGCTGAGCAATCTTGCAGGGGCCTGTTACACAAGAGGTAACTGTAACAGTCTTTAGACTGTAGGTCACACCCAAGCCAAAACATTCTAATATATCAGATTAAAGTTATTCTTAAGAAGAGTCTGTGTTTATATAATAAAATGAACTACTGTAATTTGGTAGATTCAGTAAACAGATTTTACTTATTTTTTTTTTATTTTTTCCCAATAATCATGATTCAAAAGTTCCAACCAAAAACAAAGACTGGATCTCACAAAACGAGAAACCCAGCTTTATTGTCTTGCGACTCAGCGGTAAACCTGAAAGATTATAACGTTACAAATCGCGTTTCAATACCAGCGGGTGGTAGAGCACAGATAGCTCTTTGCGTAGCTTTGCGCTTGACAACAAACAAGACAAGAGGGAATCCTCAATAGCCGTGGCACTTGAAATTCTTGTAGGCAGAATTAGAGTAAATTAATTTTTTTTGTCCTTTTTAACAAATATATTTTTTGTGCGCCAGAAATACCAAGTGTGGGGCGCGTGTATACCTTATTCGATTTTAATACTCATCAGGGTCTCTACCAGCCTACCCTCAAATTGAAACTCTTTTATACAGGATTAGAGTGAATTAATGTACGAGACCTTGGGCGTGGTCAAATAAATCAATAGAAAGGGTCTGACCTTCTGAGTCCAAAACTGTAATTAGATCTCAAATCTGTCAAAAGATGACGAAGCTATGAGTCTAGAGTTTATACTTAAAAAACTCAGAGGCGTTCTATGAGCCTCTGTGCCGCGGCTAAAAATCTATGTGAGTTCCAAGTATTACGAAATTAGCATGTAGTAATTACTCAGGTATTTTATAAATTATTAGAAATATTGGTTAGAAAACTAAGTATATAGTTAGTTTTATAGCCAGTAACTGTTGAAAATCAATTTCTGAGTTGTATATAATTTTGTATGGAAATATGAATTTCATTGTGATTTTCAATATTAAATGATGTAAAGACAAATACCATTAATGTCGTAATATTTGTCACGACGATTATTTAGTATTCAAATTATTATTATTGTTGTATCTTTTTTGAAACTACTTTCAAATGCGAGGGTTTTGGCAGGGTACACTACATTGCTGAAGTAGGTCATTTGATAGGGAGTGAAAGCGAATAGCAAACGAGGTCAGCTTCGTACTACGGCACAACACGCCTCTGAGCAGGAAAAAGGAAGTAGTTTCGTATCAGAACCGACAGAGGGCGCGTGAAGAGAGAGAACGGAAGATTCGACAAAGATTCGTGCATTTAGCGTTCGTTCGCACATCAAAGGAAAGCACGTTGCATCCAATGCTGTACGCGGCGTATACAGGTTTCACCCCTCGCCTGTTGACCTGCTAAGTCTACGTTTCATCAACCAGTATTTAGGTTACAGCTTTCACTTAACGTTCTCATTTCCGAAAATCTAAAATAAGTATCCTCTTCTAGATTACTGGGAAAACGTATACTTTGCAACTTTCGTTATTGTATTATCTCTGGATTAACTAAATCTACCAAGAACAATGTCGTTCCATAGATATATATATAATAACTACTGTGAGGATTTTTGACCTGGTACCTGGTTTGATTGTAAAAGAACGTTGTAATTTCAAATAAAAAAAATACGTAGTTCAACCAAAGTTCGACTTCCTTCAGTGAAGAAAAACATACACCATGCTGGAAGAAATTGACGTGAAACCAGAAGATTATTCAAAACCCAAGCATCACGGAACCTTCAAAAAGTCCATCCTCAAACGTTACCGTAAGCATGTTTACTTTTTATGTCAGGTTATTTTCCACGTTGTCGGTGTATCAGCTATTATAACAATATTATGTGTATTTGTTTATTACTCTATTTGTTGACAGTGGCCATCAATGGTCAATACTTTAAGTTTAAACGTGTGAGAGAAGACAATCTTTTTGAGTAAAATACACGTGTTGTTCCTACTGAGCGCGTGAATTTTTTATTGTATTTTGTTGTTGCTGTCTTCGTGACCAGCTGGACGAGTAATAAGACCATTAGCAAACATTTTAATATTAGAGAAGGCATTGGGAGTTGGCGATTGGGTGGAATTAAAAATTTAAATAGAATTTGACGCTAAAGGATACTTATATGACGTGCTGACCGTGATGTGCTTAACGCGTCCGATTAGCCAGTTCCTATTTAAAGAATGTGTATTCTAGTACTTACGAGTAACAAGCCAGTTATTTCATTGAATGTGTTAAATTGTCCCTTGGTTACACTAAAGAAGTTCACATCACAGTGCTTGAGAAATTTAAGAGTTTGTAGCTTGTGACCTGACAGTGTTTATCAAACGATTGTTTGTTTGTTTGTTTTGAATTTCGCGCAAAGCTACACGAGGACTATCTGCGCTAGCCGTCCCTAATTTAGCAGTGTAAGACCAGAGGGAAGGCAGCTGGTCATCACCACCCACCGCCAACTGTTTTACCAACGACCGTCACATTATAACGCCACCACGGCTGAAAGGACGAGCATGTTTTGGTGTGACGAGGATTCGAACCCGCGACCCTCAGATTGCGAGTCGAGCGCCCTAACCACCTGGCCATGCCGGGCCTTATCAAACGAATAGTAACGAAAACGTTTTAAAGAGATTGGTTATTGGTTTCAAAATGTAAGATTAACTTTACACGTATATCTGTGTTTAATCGTCAGTTATGATAAAAGTCGAAGGTTATGGCATTCCATGAATCGTTTTGTTTGTATCTATACCATTTCTGCGTTGCATTTAGCAGGCTATTACAGGATTTTAGCATTCTGATTTGTGTAGTAAAATACAAAAAAGAAGATAAAAAAAATCGGAGCGCTTCGCATAATCTGTCGTTTTCTTGGTTTTGTATAACCCACTTGGAGAAAACTGATATTTCATCGTTAACACGAGTGATGTCATACATGAATGAATTTGCAAGAAGCGGGAGTAACTCACTGGTTTGTGCGGTCTCAACAATTTGCCAAGCGATGCATCATCCTGCTTTTTTATGTATATAATTTTGAATAAGAAGAGAGATTTTATTGAGGTAGTCAGCATAGTAGTAGTGTTGTTAGGCCTTCATACATTGAGAAGATTGAATTACTGGTTACTAAATAGCCTAGCGTATGAAACCTGAATATTTTTTAAACGAAATTAAACTTTCTAATTACGTTCATATTACAGGGCTGTTGTGGTTATAAAAGCGTTACTGTGCGGTATTAATTTAAAACTACTAGACAAGTAGCAGTGTCACCATTATATTTGTTGCTAAAAACGAGTCTCATACTAATTTACGTGTGTTTATAAATAAATATGATAGAAATGTTCCAATTTGTGTTTTCCCAATTAAGGTGTTTATCTAAGTTCCAAAACAAGATGTAACGGGAATTCCCCCAATGTTGCCTTTCAAGTAATTTTATTAGGTTATGATAAGTGTAACGTGAATGTTCCCTGAAGTGTTTGTTGGGTTCAGGTAGTAGGTGATAACATGCATTCACATAGATTATTTGTTTTCTTATCTGTATGCTTAGGTTCTACTGTTGCCATACCACCAGCAAATACGTCAATATGAGACATCACATATTTAAACTAGAATGAACCTCACCGAACAAAATGACATACAAACAAATTATTGAGATAAAATTATACAAATGGACAAGAAAACAAAGTATTTCTTGCCTTTGAAATTTACATTTTAGTGTGAAAGTACAAATACATAGTTCACGTGATTATATATAAAAGTTTAGGTATGGTTTATATTTATTTCTAAATATAGATGTCGTTTTCACTCTTATTATTATTATTATGTACTGGGTTTTGTCATGTGTGTGTTGTTGTTTTTTGCTTCTCTGAATGCATTTTAGATAAGAAGTTAAACAATTTGCTGGTGTGTTTTAGTACAAAATGGTTTTCTTTTCATGCTCACATAAAATGTCCAAATACTGCAAGTGGCTATCATTGTCGCCACATGGATGGTGTAAAGAATAACCTTGGAAATAACGTAGATGATATTTTAAGTTCTGTATATAGATAAGATACTTATTTTTCCCATGGGTGAGCAAAAGTTGTCGGGAAGTATACTGATATATTACCTTCTGTTGTGGGATATCCCTTTCCCGGTCATTAGCTCAGTAGTTCAAGGCCACATGTCGGTGTTTCCCCCGTCTCTCCTTGCTCCACCCAGTGGGATGTATGTCAAAGGAATAAGATACACGTCATAGTTCTTTTAACCACCGACGTGAATATATATATATATATGTATATACACCTATTACCTGGTTAATGTCGTTCGTACTCGTTTACCCCACGGTCGCAGCGAACCTTTATTTTAGTGACAGCAACCTGCATCGCTTTGTAGTTTAGGGTTGAGTTGATGAGCAATTTCAGACAATTGTGAGCAATTATTTATTGATTACTTAACATGATTAATTTTGTAAAACATACAGCGTCCCACGTTTAAAACTATATTTATATAAGCTAAAAGTTTGGATCATAAGCCGCACAAACGCAGGGCCAGCATTGAGTTAGTGAACTTAAAAGATATGATACGTTGGTAGTTCTAGAATATTGTGGTATTGTAAAGAAGATTATGATTAAATCGTATGAATAACTAGCTGTGTTGAAACGTGAAAATATCAAACTTTCTGATAAAAATGTGACGCAACGTCATCCCCTTTAATGTCGAAATGAATGTATGCGATATAAACGTTGTTTAAATTCTAAGAACGTAAAGAAGACTGTTATGTCAACCACGCAACATCTGCAATATACAATACCGACGAGGCCTTTCGTACAATACCTGGGCTCATCAGGCCAGCTGGAATACGATAGATGTAGTGGTAGTCTAGGCGCTATTTATATTATCAGTTCTGATGAACAACGAGTAGTAGTGTATAGCGTGAACTAATTACGTAATATCATTTAAAAATCACTTTTTAATGTATGGATTAGTAACGCAACATTATTTATTTATTATTATTCAGAAAAACTGGCGAATCAGCAAGCTAGTCGGTTAATGATCTGTCGTGTTGGTAAAAGTGTTCCGGGCTCAGAATATCTAAAGGTTTTCCTTAAGAGTATCGACGGACACGTTGCTTCCGTTTGTGAAAGCCTAGACAGCATCTGGCTGTCGGTGTTAAATATGCCATATTCTGAAGTGTTGTACTGAGAGGTATAATCACCTGCTGAGAAAAGAAAAAAGGGTTAATTCTATATTGAGTGTAACACATTCGTTTGTATAATATTTTAAACTTAAAAGTAAACTTAAACGAACGTGTTTCAATTAGAATACAATTAGCTTTTTTCAACTCTTTGTTAGTATCTCTAGTCGGTTAAATATCACATTCTATTACCGCTGTGTACGTTTTAGCATTAGAAAACTGTTTTACTAGCTCACGTGCTGTAAAACAAACATCGGGTTTGGAAGATACCGTAATTATGACTTTCGTCGGCTTGTAGTTCTTAGTATTTCATTAATTTATCAACGTGTTTTTTAATTTATTATGAAAGTGCGTATCAGTTAGTGTAGTGGATCTGATTGGCATATTTATAATTCGGGTGGAAAGCATGTCTACTTGGGTTTGAAACCCTGGCTCGTAGCGAAGTTGTAAGAGCATCGGCCACAGAACACTTAATTATGTAATCTAGGGTTCGAGTCTCACTCAGTTTGCTTCTCTCCTATATAGGATCACTACTGTTCTTGTGTAAATAAATTACGTTATTAATGTTAATATATTATTTCATCATGTTTAATTATTTTTGTTTCAAAACAATATATAAAAGTCATTCATTTCGTTGGTTTATGATACATTTATATTTTTAATGTAGAACTGTTTCGTTTAGGGTTGAAATTACGAGTGACCGCATTTCAAGTATAGTGCTTATATTGTTATACATTGCATGAATTTAATGTGCGCATACATTTTAGGGGTAATCCCTGTTTGAAACTACTTCTAGAAAGTATTTCCTGTCAGCAAGCTGCCCAACTTCATTACATTTCAAACAAGTGGCATGCTTTGCTTAATTACTATGTATACGCATACACATTTTTTATTCATTCTCCTTTTAAGTAAAGGAAGGTCTTATCTGCTTATCAATTATTTTTATCATGTCCTTTGTCAGCTAGTGTGATGCTAGAAAACAGATGCGCGTATTCTTTTTAATAAAATTCCCCTATTAAAAACATCATACTATATGGTAGTCAGGGTATGTGCTAACACTATTTATTGTTCAAGGTAAATTACAGAATTATCATAAATAAAACATGATTTTTAAAAACATTTTTCCAAATCGTACGTTGTTGGACAATTTTCCTCCATAGAAACTCTAATTGTTCAGTTTTAAGTAAGTGTGAAAAAACTAACTAAATCAGGTCAAATTCCGTCACAAGTTATTCTGATTTGAGGTAAACGTCTAAATAAAAAGGTGTATTATTAGTTTTGTCTTTATTCACCGATATTGTCAGTTTTTATCACAGCCCCTAAACGTTGTTATGGTTGTCACTTAGAAATCACATTTTATATACAAACATTTAAGAAGTATACAGAATTTGAGGATATGGCTTCTTTTTTTTTTGTAGTCAAGCACAAAGCTACAACAAAGGGCTATCTGTGCTCTGCCCACCACCACTATCGAAACCCATGATTACATGAAGAATCTTTAGATTTAAAAAAAAATTGTAATATTTTATATTTCTCTTGCATAAAAGCTCAAATGTGTGGGCTATTTGGAGCACATTCACAAATGCTGGATATATGGACTGTTAAAAAAAAAT